TATATATATATATATACATATATATATATATATACACACATATGCATAACAATGCCACATTATATAATCTGCACTTAAAAAAAACAAAAAAAAAAACTTTAATGGTCAAAAATGCAAACAAAATTACATTTTCAAGAAATTGTTAAGAAATACCAATTGTTAAGTACCATGAATTATTGTGAAGAAAGAACACTTTCCTTTGAAAGATCATTTTGATGACTGACATATGTTGTACCAGGGGACCAGCTAGCAACATCATAATATTTCTGCAATGATGTGAAAATATGTATTCATGACAGTAAAACGTCAACATCTGTCATGTTAAGTTCATACTGTAGGATAAAAATCTCAACTTTTACATTATTAGCTGCTGAGGATGAGCTGATGGGAGCCATGAAAGAAAATGAGATAAGGGAGACAGAACTGTCAATAACATTTACATTTCAAAGATATCACTTGTGATTACTTGTCATTTCGAGGGGAGGGTTTTTGATTTCATGACATTTCCATGGTGCTGTTAAGATGTTGATAATAGATGTAAACAAGGTGTAGATAAAATATGGAAAAGATTTAAAAAAAAATGAATATATGTGATGTTAATGTGTTCAATGTGATGCTATATGTAATATCTGAACTGTCTCGTGTGTGTATGTGTGTGTGTGTGTGTGTGTGTGTGTGTGTGTGTGTGTGTGTGTGTGTGTGTGTGTGTGTTTTTGAGAAAAATGTAGAATGGAGTGTATTGACAATCTGAAATAGCACAAAGTTTCCTGTGAGGGGTAGGTTTAGGGGTAGGGTTGGTGTAGGGCAACAGAATATACAGTCTGTACAGTATAAAAACCATTACGCCTATGGGTTGTACCCACTTTTCACAAAAACAAACCTGTGTGTGTGTGTGTGTGTGTGTGTGTGTGTGTGTGTGTGCATGGATGAATGCACTCTGGCTGGCTGGGTGTGTGTCTGTGTGTGTGTGTTCATGCATGCAGGGGTGCATGCTGTGGATCACTGGATTCAGTGTCTTCTTGTTCTGTGCAACTTTGATCCTAGTAAACTATACATCCTCTTCCACAACAGAACCTCTGCTGTGGCATAAATCAAACAAAAGCACTGCACAAACACATGCCATACGATGCATCTTAACTCCGGTCACATTCATGAATGCATTCAATTGTGAAAGCAATCCATCATATTTAAGTCTGTATATTATTTAGAGTGTGTTTGTGTGTTGCTTTTATAAGCTGATCTGAAACTCAATGTCTTTTAATGCTTAAGAATCTGAGCATGAGAATTCAGCTCTTAGATTAGCTTCAAAGCACAGCGCTCCCTTTTGACATTGATCGACCTGCCAGCCAACCAGATCAATATATCGACAGTGAAGTACAGTGAAGGTCCACAAGAGCAGGTTCCCCATTTCTTCACTTTCTGTGTTTTTTTGTTGTTGTGTGGTTAGTGTGTGGCCGTATGTCTTCACCTGTGAACAAAAACACAGTATACACTTCACATCAGTCATAAACGTGTAATGACAGAATGATTTTGATATTATAAAAACATGTGCGTGATGGCTTAATCCTGACTATTTTAATTGGTGTGTGTTTTACACTTCCAAGTAACATTTTGTATACATACAGTATAACATTTCCCAAGCAAGTTATTGGCATTCATTACACTATTATTATAGGTGCTTTTCAGTGAAAAACAGGTCTATTTAGTTATTTGTTTGGCTCAGAGGAACAAAATGCATAGGTTTCTTTTGATGGATCAATGCTGATCAAAATGTGATGACGTCACCACGTTCACTACGGAGCCTGTAATAATTTTAAATAATCCAGTATTATATAATAATACCTTTGTTACAGAGCATTGGTAATAATAATCATAATAATAATAATAACAACAATAATAATATTACAAAATAAAAAATATAAAAATGACATTTGACCTAAAATCAGGGCCATCGTTAGTGGGGTGAAAAGTGGTGACGATTATAGGGGCCCACGGCTGTGGGGGGGCCCTTTCGACTGGCCAAGATCTGCATGAAATACGTTCAGGACTGTTAATGGGCAACTGCTGCGTGTTGTCACGAAAGCTGATCATTGGCACGTGCTTTTAAGCCTTGTCAATTAAAACATTCAAGAGATTTTAAAGAATTCCAACTCAAGTAGATGTGAAATAGCTCAACTAAGTACTTGCGCGCTGTGTTCGGTGCGCACACTGAGAGCGCGTCTCAGGATGCTTTCACACCTGTAGATCGATTGCTCTGTTCCGAAACGGATTAAAAATATTAAAATGTTGCTTTTTATTCTTGGTGCGGTTCGCTTTCAAATGGCGCAATCTCTCTCTCTCTCTCTCTCTCTCTCTCTCTCTCTCTCTATATATATATATATAGTATGTATATTCAAATCATTAATGTAAATTAAAAATAGATTTTAATATTGATTATACTGATAATTTAAAATATATTAAAAATATTTGAAAGCTACATGGTAATGTCTTAATGTATTATTTAACACACACACACTAATCAAATGATCATTTCAATTTATTATAATTCTTTAAATTACTTATACTTTAAAACATTGTAGTCCTCGAATATTTTTTTTAATTAAGTCAATATCGAAAAAAGAGTTCTGAAAGATCACTGAGTTCTGCAAAAACTCCCTTTATAATCAAAGAAGCTAAACTTCATAAAGAATTGCTTATTTGCATTGTGTCTGCACTTTCTGTCGAAATAACAAGAGGATTTAAAGGATGTCACAAAAGGCACAGAAAGAAATAAACCAAGTCATTTATCCATGCACAGTACTTTCAGTCGCACTTCAGTGACAGAAGCCAACTGTTTTGTATTACAGTGAGGAGTACTTAGTTGATCGCTTCAACAATAGAAGCAGTTTGCAGCTGGCCTTGCTGGCCTTGTATCTGCACTTGCTGCAATGTATAATTAGATCCAGATGATGTCAATCTAATGGAGTAAAGCACTATCTTCTCTAATTACCTCAGAAACACCCCTCTTCCCAACACTACATGTTCTGCCATCAGCTGTGGGATGTTTAAAGCTGAAATGGACAGAGTTATTGTTTTTGATCATGGGTAAATAAGCAGTGCAGAAGATGAGGTTCATAAAAGGGCACATTCAAATCAAAAGTGAGCAATGAAAGGGCAGTGCAGGTTTATGCCTATGATAAAGCCATAAAAGCAAGCTTTATATTTTCATTTTAATTGCTCTACCTTGACATAGACTCAGCATTCAACAGTATGTCGAATGCTCCTTTTATCTAAACCCAACATGACCGGCTTGTGAAATTAGTCACCTGGCGGCTTAGAAGCTGACACATGCAAATAACCTCATAGCTATTTACATGAAAATAAGCCACTTCAGCTAGAGTGTTGATCTTTATTTCCCTTCCAATCAAACAGATCCAAAATCTCTGTCCACGCCTCACCGCCTCATTCTTCTCCTTCCGTCTTTACACAATGCAAAGCAGGACACCGAATGAAGAGAGAGAATTTTTGTGAATGTCATTCAGGTATGACAATTCTGTGTTCCTCCCAGATGTCCACCTGTTCTTCATTATCTCTCTTTCATTGTTTTTCCTCTCGTTTAACGACACACTCCAATCCCACACACCTGCTGAGATGCTAAATTTAGACGCCTTTTTTCCCCGTCTTCTGTGGCGACCCCTGTGATGTCTCTTACTTAATGGATTCTGTTTGATGGTTAATCACAAACTCATCAGTAGGATTAAATCCATGTAGATGTTGTTTCTCAGAAATACTATAACAAATGCATAAGGCTTGATGGCTTAACATAAAAGTTCACTACTTAGCCAGGAGAAAGAATGCAAATGTATACTACCGTTACTACAGTCTTCAGTGTCCCACGATTCTTCAATAAATGTCTATAATATGCTCATATATTGTGTATGTGATGGAACCTGAATATCAAAAGACTTGTTTGTTTTTATGGTTTATGGGGACTCTCCATAGGCGTAGGGCTGGACGATATGGCCAAAATTGATATCATGATATATTTCTTCATTTCGGTCGACGTTTTATTTTAATATAATCGATATGAACACTATTTATCTGAAATAGAAATCTTTTGTAACATTATAAATGCCTTTATCATCATACAAAATGATGTCTTCATTTGTCACAAAAACGCGCACGCACACACACACACACACACACACACACACACATATTAAGCAGATCAACTGCTTTCAATGAATTAATGAATGAACATTTCAACTATAGTGTGAAATGTTCCATTTTTGTTTGAAGGGATATTTCACCCCAAAAAATAACTGTTTTTGTCCGTGCAATGAAGTCAATGGGGCACTCACTTT